CCACAAAGGCTCATAAATCACCAAAAAGGAGAGCTCAGAAGTCTTCAACTTGATCTAAAAGTAGATCCCTGCTATTTCCCAGCTTCAGTTTATTCTGCTTCCATATGAGTTCAGAGGGCTACAACATTTTAAAAAGTTACAATGTTTCACTCTCTGTTTCTGCTATCCAGTAAACATTTTGCAGATGCAGATAACTTGCTTGTTACTTGTAGCAGACAGGCTAATCATCAGCAGACATTTAAGGACAGTTCATTTTGCTCACTTTCGCTTTTAAATGTCTCTCTCCACCTGTAGATGTCGCTGTTGCTCTATTCCTCTCCATTTTCTCTCTTTTTAACTTATATCATCCAATCCAAAACTTTTTAGGAGTTCCAGGGATCAAAATTTCATATTCAGAAAAGTTTTCAATTTAGTTAATATTGTTGTTGAAATGACCAATCCAATTTTCCTAGCTTCAGATTTATTTCTCTCTCTCAGACAGTTCTCTTTTCCCTTTTCTGGATCTGTAAACAGCTCTCGAGCTTGCTTGCCGCTATTCTTGGGGTGTGTGGAAAACAAACAATTCCACCTCCTCCTCTTGAGTCCCACTTTCACCCAGGCTAATTATTAAGGGGGCAAGTTCCTCAACAGAACTTGGAAAAATCTCACCCAGATCAGCCACACTGTTCCTCAGTCTTTTATGATTGCTTCATTGGTTGCCTGTCAGATCCTCAGTCAGGCACATACTGGCCATCTTTTTTGTCCCACTGGATTGATTGCTTCCTCCAGATCAAATAAGGAGTTTGTGGTCTCCTTGTGATCGATGGAATGTCCTCTCTGTCCTCATTACCCCTCCAGGGTAATTTGGGTCCCAAAGGACCTTCTGGCATGTAGAATTCAGCGAGTTTCACAGAGCCCCGTGAAAACACACCTTGTTGCTGTGATGTCACCCCTATTGTTCGTTTCTTGATGAGCTGGTTTTATGTGAAAGCTCCTGAAAGTATTTCTTTTAAAGGAGACATATCCACAGAAGTATCCAGACTACTTTGGAGACAGTAGACTTTGTTCATTTGGGAGACTGAAGTCTGAAGTAAATTTTTGTCTAATCAATTAATTTCAGAGAATCCATATTTCATTTTAATTTTAAAATAATTATGAAGGATTTTTTTCCAGAAACAATCAAAATACTGTAAAGAATTTTGATAAAGTTAACAAAGTCTATCTATGAAACTAAAATGGATTTGTGGTTTAGTATGCCAAACAATAATGGTATTGTTTGGTTTAAAATGAACAAAAGTCCAAAATGTATCTCAAGAATAGAAATTGTCATACTCTGTGTTGTTATAAATGCATGTGAAGATAGGAATACAAAGGTTGATAACAGTTCAATTGCATATTATGATCCACTAAATGTTAATAATGGAAAAATCAGAAATGAGTTTTTTGGGGAAAACCTGCAGAGTTCTGAATAAATGTGATGCAGTGGGAATATTATTTTGTTTAATGATAAGATGGGATCAAAGAACAGGATATAAGACTGCAGAAGTAATTGAATGATTTGAAGACTTGGAATAAATAATAGTGTATTATTAGTTTTTCTTCTTCAAACTTTAACTGCCAGAATGAAGCCATTTTCTTGGCTTTGTCTTATTAGTGAAAGTGCTTGAAATAAAGTGAAAAATTGCCAGAGATCATAGCATCTATGAAATCATAGTAGTGTAAAATATGAAAAAGAATGCTTGATGGAATTTGAAGTGAGAAGAATTTGTGGATGTGGAAAAAAGCCAAATGAGAAGCCTCCAGGAGAATAAAGGAAATAATACAAGATGAAATGATTTGGGAAAAGATTGAAGCAAAGGAATATTGGATGGAGAGATTTTAGAGCTATGCATAAAAATGAGAATGATAAATGCAGAAGTGGAATTGAAATGAATTCTGTGACTATAAATATGTGAGTTAAGGAGGTGCAGGCTGAGTTGAAGCTTTAAGCTAATGAATATAGTAAAATTTAGTTTGCAGTGTATTATCATCCAGGACACAGCCTAGCATTAAAGTCACTCCCTATAATACTTAGGTATTCAGAAAGTTGCCTGTTTTACCTTCACAACAGGTAAAACAGAACAGAACAGGTAAAACATTAAACAGAACATCATAAATTTCCATGTTTCTTGTACCAGAATTATATCCTATTCATGCAGGGGGGCAGAAAATGAGCTTATATTAAGATACAGGTCACTAGTTTCCACGTTAAGATTTTTAAAATATTTGCTTTGTACTGTCTACACGTCTTCTGTATTAGAAGCCCTGACCTACCAATATGGTCCTGCTGACCCCAACAATAAGCGTATTGTATGAAGATTCAGATTTGAAATGATCAAGAAAGTGCTTATAAAACTGAGCAACTAGCCTGTTTTTTCTGTTGTTTAGGATTTGCAGTTATTTACTGGTTTGTAAGACATCTGCTTTTTTTAAAGCCTTTTGCCTTTTGTACAATTGTTTTTCTTCTGTTACTTTCATTTAAAAATGAAAAGTCTTCCTTGTGTCTGGAGGCACTATACAAACAAAATCATTTGTTTGGTAGAGAGCAATTTTACTTAATTGACTCTCAATAAATTTTGCAGAAGATTCTTTTAGAAGAACCTATTTTATTTTCAACTGTAGTCAGCAAGTGAAATATTGAACAGTCTGTGCTATATGTAGATTATGTCTAGTTATAAAGCCTAGTGTATTTTGATCTTTCAAGGGTTTAAACTTAAAGAGTTTTCATCTTGTGTGTGCCCTTGTGTGGCTGGGTAAATAGCATTTTCCTTTGGGGAGCGAACATTCTGTTGGAGAGGAGGAAAGCTGTAAAAGTTCTATGTCTCAATCTTAGAGTAGGTCCCACTCAACAGAGTCATACCTGTTGCATAGATCACTAATAGTGTGGCTTGCTTGCTTGTGACATATCTGTGAACTTTCTATTATTTTAGAGACTTAAATGAAGACTATGTTGTAGAAGATATCCACTTGATTCTTCCTTTTCCACACGACAGCACTTCAAATGTGCTTTCCGTAAACAAAGGCTGGCTCAAGAATGGCAGTAATAAAATAATAAAAAATGATTACTAAGGAAAAAAAACCTAAGTGACTTAAAAATAAGTCCAATGATTGTTGTATCATCTGCAAACTTCTAATTAGCTTTTTTGCTAGAGGTTTGATTAGAGATAGTCCTCACTTACCAGCTACAATTGGAATTGATAAGTCTATTGCTAAGTGATGTAATTAAATGAAATATCTTGTAATTGCACTGGGAATATGTCAATTCTGCTGCAGTCATTATGTGACATCACATGATCATGATTTCTTGCCAGTTTCCTCCTTTGCTGGTCAGAAACCAGCTATGAAGCTCACAAATGACCATGTGACCATAAGACATTATGAGTTGTGTATGCCAGTTGTGTCCAAATTAGGATCATGTAACCAAAGCAATGCTACAATAGTCATCCTAAACCTACCTTTTCATTGCCCTTTGTAACACTGAATGGTTGCTATTTGGGAACTGAAGACTACCTGCATATGATCTGATATGGCTGAAGTTTATGTTTAGAAGCTCATTAGACAACATACCCAGTTGGATCATTGATTCAGAGGTGTTTCCTCTGTTATTTAAATAAGAAAAATAGAATAACCATGGGCGGGCAAAAAAGAAGTGGGACTGGAAACAACTTCCAATTTCATGCCAGTTTCCCCATTGAACTTTTTTTTGGAAAGCTGGTAAAGAGCATTAGTACTCTTCCTTTCTTCCATCTTTCCTTCCATGTTTTTACCTGTTACAGGTGTGACATCTATATAATATAGGTATATAAAAACATGTGCGTATTTGAATGCAACGTTGTGTCAAAATTTCAAAACAATCGGTGAAGAACTTTCGGAGATTTACAATTTTGAACAAGCGAACATTTTTATTTATATAGATATTTGCTATGAAAAAGAATGACCATATTGCCCCTTAATGTTTATGTATGCTAAATGTTTATTGTAGGATGTGTAGCACTTCCACATTCCAGATGAATTCAAGTATAGGTAGTGCTTGATTTACAATTGAACTCAAATTTCTGTCACTAAGTGAGACATTTAAGTGAGTTTTGCACCATTTTACCACCTTTCTTACCACATTTGTTGATTACTACAGTTGTTATGTTAATAACACAGTTGCTAAGTGAATCTGGCTTCCTTATTGATTTTGCTTGTCAGAATGGTGATTGCATGAGCCCAGAACACAGTAACCGTCATAAATACAAGTCAGTTGCCAAACATCCAAATTTTGATCATATGACGACAGAGATGCTGTCATGGTTATAAGTGTGAAAAATGGTAATAAATCATTTTTTTCAGTGCTTTGTAACTTTGAGCAGTCACTAAATGTTACAAGTTGAGAACTACCCGTATACTGAAGCAGGGGTGCTCGGGCCGCGGACCACCACTGGTCCATGGTGCACCAGAAATCGGGCTGTTGAAACAACATCCTCCCCTGGTCCATGGAAAAACCTTTCTCTGTGGAACCGGTCCCTGGCGCCAAAAAGGTTGTGGGCCGCGGTACTAAAGCAACCAGGTGTTAGACATTATGGGAATTTTGTTCTATTTGCATTTTAGTCAGTCTACCCACTTTGCTCAAACTGTTACGTAAAAAAACCCAAACCCCTCTCTTTGAATATTTGTATTTGTCATTCATTTGTATTACAGTATAGGCAACACTTGACAGCGAAAACTTGCAAAATGTTCATTTTTGCATGGATTGTTTGTAACTAATGTATAATCATTCCAAAAATGATAAAGAATTGAAAATTGAAAAGAGATTGAACAAATTAACTGTTAGACACATAGGCATATATCTGATTATTGCTGCATTAGTATAATGACTTTTACAAATTGAATTATCAACTAGAAATCTAAAAAGGCATATTATATAGATTGTTATTCAATAATGCATATGTTTTAAACTTTGCTATGAACTCTGAGGTATTGTTTACACTGCTTTACAGGTTGAAGAACCTGGAAAATGTGTGAGATCGTGGAAATGGACAGTGGAACATATACTCTACAAAGCTTTTCGGTCATACCTTTTACCACCTACAAATTTTAGAGAAGATGGCAATGTTTTACAACTTGCTAATCTACCTGATTTGTACAAAGTTTTTGAGCGATGCTAAATACAAATATTTAATCTAGAATTATTTAATCTATTTTCTTTCTCATCATTATAATCTTTAATCAGTTATTGAATATTACTGCATAAACATCTGCATAAAAATAACTATTGTATGGTCAGAAAATTAATCCACTATTGTTCAACATTTCACAATATCCACATATTGTACAATGAGCAAATAAAGAAAAGTTAATTAAATTCTTAGGTTTCTGTTTATAACCCAAAATATAAAGGATATTTAAATCCTCATCCTACTATTAATGAACCATACAACTGATGAATTGGAAAAATATGGAAGACCAGAATTCTCTTTTCTACTTGATCCTATTTTAGTATTTCTGCTGGCAGATAGTTTGGGAATAGATGATTAGAGCATCCTTGAATGTAAAGGATCACTCAAATTTTATATGGAGATACAGGTAGTCCTTGACTTACGACCATAATTGAACACAAAGTTTTTGTTGCTAAACAAGACAGTTTTTAAGTGAGTTTTGCCCCATTTTATGATGTTTTTTGCCATAGTTGTTAAGTGAATCACTGCAGTTGTTAAGTTAGTAATATGGCTTGCCCATTGACTTTGCTTGTCAAGAAGTTGGAAAGGGTGGTCACATGATCCCGAGACACTGCAACCATCATAAATACAAGTTTTTTGTACAATATTTAAATTTATATAACATTTATATGTGCCCGGTGCCTGGGCTGTGAGGGTCTAGATGGGAGTCAACAGTATCAGATTTAACCCAGACAAGACCGAGTGGCTGTGGGTATTGCCTCCTAAAGACACTGTTGACTGTCCATCCTTGGTTCAGGGGGGGAGGGGGGGAGAAATTGTCCCCTCAGAATGGGCTGGCAATTTGGGTGTCCTCCTAGACTCACAGCTAAGATTAGAGCAACATCTGGCAGCTGTAGCTAGGGGGACCTTTGCACAGGTTCGCCTGGTGCACCAATTGCAACCCTACTTGGATCAGGAGGCTCTCCTCACAGTCACTCATGCCCTTGTCACCTCACGGTTAGATTATTGCAACACACTCTACATGGGGCTACTCTTGAAGAATGTTCGGAGACTACAGTTGGTCCAGAATGCAGTTGCATGAGCTGTCGTGGGTGACCTAGATACACCCACATTACACCAATTCTCTGCGAGCTGCACTGGCTCCCTATTGGTCTCCGGGAACAATTCAAGGTGTTGGTTATTACCTTTAAAGCCCTACATGGCTCAGGGCCAGGCTATCTTCGAGGCCACCTTCTACTGCATAGCTCCCAGCGACCGGTAAGATCCCACAGAGTTGGTCTCCTCCGGGTCCCGTCAGCTAAACAATGCTGGCTGGCGGGCCTGCGGGGCAGGGCCTTCTCTGTGGCTGCCCCAGCTCTCTGGAACCAGTTACCTCCACCCTATTGGCCTTCCGGAAAGCGTTGAAGACCTGGCTTTTCCAGCAGGCCTGGGGCCGTTGATCTCGCTGTTGCAATCTTGCGAGATCCAGCCATGAATGGTGTGCATGGGCTTTTAATGTTTTAAAAATGTTTTCATAATGTTTTTAATAATTTTCTATGTTCATTGTCGCATTACTTTTGTTGTAAGCCGCCCAGAGTCCCTTGGGAGTTGGGCGGCATAGAAATGTGATAAATTAAATAATTAAAATTAAATTAAATTAAAGTTAGTTGCCAAGCATCTTAATTTTGATCATGTGACCATGAGGATGCTGTCATGTCACTTTTGTCAGTGCCATTGTAACTTTGGTCACTAAACAAACTGTTGTAAACCAAGGACTACCTATAGTAGAAATTAGCAATTTTTTATTAGTAATATCATAATGAATATAAACAGCTTCTGTTGATATAGCTTTTACTTAATTATATCCTGTCACGTTTATTATTCAAAATAAGTAACTGAAACATTTTCAGTCTGTAATGTTTTGAGTTATACGGAGGATAAAAATTCCTAGATTTGGCACATTAAAAAGCTCAACAGAGAACATTAAGACAAGACACACCCATGGTATGCAAAGTGTCCATTTAATAGGTTTGTACCTGCCACATTTCTCCCACCCATATTTCACTCCACACTTAAGCATCACACACATCAGGTTTTACACACTGTACAAAAACAAATCTTGCTCACTAGTCTTACATTAATAATAGAGATGGTTTTGTTCAAAATTGAAATCTCAAAGTGTGCATCACCATGCGATAAAGCAGATTGTGTAATCATTTCTATGTTATATAAATTTAAATATTGTACAAAAGTGTTTTCCATCAAAATGTATAAAATTTAGCAAACAAGATTCCAATTGTATTTTAAAATAAATGGTATTTGATTCCATATTATATTTTGTTCTACTCTCTGAAGTACTCATTGCACTATATTAAAGGCACTTGTGCCATATGATAATCTTGAGCATGTTATTGATTAGTTTGTTGTGCAGCATACTCTTGAATTCGTGGATCTCTTTCCAAGCACCAAGCATTAAAGCAGTTGAAAATAATTCAGAGAATAAACTTGATTTCACAAGTGTGAAAATAGTAATTTATATAAAGTAAGTCAACCATAGATATTGGGCTCCATCAGATTTTTGAATTAAGCTGCTAAAACTCATCACCGGCATAAAGATGTAAGCGCTTTTTCCCATTTGCTCAAGTTAAAATATTGCCACTTATGAAACAAATTCACTGAACAGCTTTGTTTTCAAATTTATGCCAAGGAGTCTGTATTAAAATAAGCTCAAGCATTTCAAGGAGCAGTGCATTCTTTTGTTTCATTTCTATTGTTGAGATAGCAGTGCAGTTCGATTTGCCTTCATTTTCTCTAACCGTTTCACTAAGTGACTGTTGGTCATCTCCATCTCTTCTATCCTATCCAATGCTGTTCTTAACTAAAAAAAAAAGAGAGACAAAACACTTAGGTTTGAGAAAACCAATGTAGCATCTAAATATATCATAAAACCACAAAATATTTTGTTGCAGCTTTTTTATTGAAATAAGGTCCACAATTAATTCAGCTGAACTAAATGAAATTCAACGTAGAGAAAAGTAAAGTCTTACACTTGGGCAAGAAAAACCAGAAGTACGGATATAGACTGGGTGAAACCAGGCTTAATAACAGTAACTGTGAAAGGGATCTTGGAGTCTTAGTGGGCAACCAATTAAATACAAGCCAACAATGTGCAATGGCACATTGTTGAATGTTTGAATGTTTAAGTTGCAGACCCCTGATTTTCTAGCAAATTTGGCTTAAGGTCCTCTAAGAAATCCACCTCACTAATTAGGAGATTGGAGACTAATAATGAGGCAATCCTCTTAAGTGATTCAAGATGATAAACCTAGATATATTCATAGACCTACTATGCCATTGTAGATACTAGTCTAATAAGCACTATTAAAATAACGTAAATTAATTCTTATTTAGACAGTACAAGTTAAATATAAGTGGCCTAGGATTGTTAGAAAATATGGGATCCTGCATTAGTTGGCCTGTTTAAGCTGGAAGTGGATAAGACATGCTATGAATATGTTCATAAAGACAAGAAAGTTAAGAAACAATTCCACTGGTAATTGGTAAGAACATTAAGTCCATTTGTTATATTTGATTCACAAGATCCTTTAGGGTTCCATGAAATAGAAATGAGACAGAATTATTATTTTGACAATTCTGTCACCCGATAGAACAGGTAATCCTCATTTAGTGACAATGATGAAAAAGTAACTTTGCTATTAATCCTTGATTTATAGCTTCTGCAGTTTTGTAAGCATAGGAAAGCTTAAGTAAAATAATAAGTGCTGTTACAAAGTTAATGAGAGCCTGGTGGCGCAGTGGACTAAACTACTGTTAAAGTAGTATTTAGCTGCCAGCTGCCTGCAATTACTGCGAGTTCAATTCTCACCAAGCTCAAGATTGACTCAGCCTTCCATCCTTCCAAGGTAGGTAAAATGAGGATCCGGTTTGTGGGGGCAATAAGCTGACTTGGTATAAAATAGAACACCGCTTGCGGGGGGGGGGAGCCCTACTAAGCAGGTATATACAAAAGTATGAAGGCTATTGCTTAAAAGCATTGTAAATCACCCTGAATCTCCGGAGAAGGGTGGCATATAAATCGAACTAATAAATAAATAAATAATAATGATTGAATTGCCTATCCCAATTGTGGTCACTAAATGAGGACTACCTGTACACAAGTTCTGCATATTATTCCTAGTATCTTATTGTGAAATATGATAATCAAAAAGTGGTGCTTCAGAAGGCAAAACAGAAAACTTGAAATCTTAAATATCTAATCATGTATCTGGATAATATAAATTTGTTTTGGTTCCTGTTTCCTGAAATGGGATGGCAGTTTCATCATATATGGTCTTATATATGCTTTCAGAAAGCATATGCTTTCAGTTTATGTAAACCCTGCTTCATCAGCCATGGGATAAATTGATGTTCTAGGTCAGGGGGTCTGCAACCTTAAACACTCAAAGAGCCATTTGGACCCGTTTCCCACAGAAAAGAAAACACCGAGAGCCACAAAACCTGGGTGGGCAAGGCCAACTCAACGTCACTCCCACCCAGTCACATGACACCCACCCCCAGCCATGTCTATCCAGGTTTTGTGGCTCCCGGTGCTTTCTGTGGAAATGCATCTCTCTCTCCCTCCCTCTCTCTCTCCCTTTCTTATTATTTCTTCCTTTCCTTCCTTTCTTTCTTTCTCCCCTTCTCTATCTCATTTGTTTCCCTTTTTTCCATCTCTCATTATCTCCCTCCAGCTCTCTCATTTCTCTCTCCCTGTCTCTTCTCTCTCATTTGTTTCCCTCTCTCATTCTGTCCCTCCATCATTTTCTCATTTCTCTTTCTCTCCCCTTATCTCTCTCTCGCTCTCTTTCTCTTCCCCTCAGCACTGTTCAGCTGGAGGAGTAAAGAAGTTCAGGGCCAACACAGCTGCCTGCAATTTCTGCAGGTTCGAATCTTACCAGGCTCAAGGTTGACTCAGCCTTCCATCCTTTCTAAGGTAGGTTAAATGAGGACCCAGTTTGTGGGGCAATAAGCTGACTTTGTATAAATATACAAAAGTATGAAGGCTATTGCTTAACACATTGTAAGCCACCCTGAGTCTCCGGAGAAGGGCGGCATATAAATCAAATTAAAAAAAAAAAAAAGTTCAGGGCAACGGGAAAAGAGGGCTGGCCCACCGAACCTTGCATGGCCACCCCAAGGATCAGGCTTGAAGGGAGCCAGAGTGTCCTCGCCAAAGATGCTCGCCTGTCAGCCAGTCAACCTGCCTACTTGGCGCACCTTCACTGCTTTGGTTGAGCCGGCTGCTCGCTTGAGGGTATCCTGATTTTGCGCATCCTCCCGGCTCCGCAACACCTGCCCAGGGGGTCACGTGAGGAGGAGGGTCGTGAAGACTTCTGGCTGATGTCACGGTGATATCAGACGTGAGGAGCAGGTCTCCACACTCCCACTAATCTCATGATGATATGGTATCATTACACTGCCTTAAGCAATGATAAATGCCAAGTAGTGGATACTGTTTGCTTTTTTGAGGGTAGAAATGGGAGCATAATGCCTTTGGGAAGCAAACTATTCTTATTTCCACCCTTAATTTTCCCTCCAATTGGTCTAAAACTGAGCCAACATTAAATTTGTCATTTGAAACTATATGAATGAGAGGTGTTAAGGGCAAAAATTGAGAATGTCTGCCTCCCAGAGACCTCATATTCCCATTTGTATATTTGGGAGGATTCAAGGAGTGATGGAGGAAAATTGCACTGCTGGAAATGGATTATGTTATTGCTAAATGTTAATAAGCCTGATCTTGGATGCTGAATTCTGCAAATGATTTGGTTTCTAGCAGTCCTGCGAACGCACAATATCACACCATAATTGTAAGAAACCTATGGACAGAGTATTTATACTTCTTTGAAATAATAATAATCTCAAGCTACATTTAAATGTAGCACACATTTTTCACATCTCAATTACTATACTATTACTAATCTTTTTCACTGAAAGGAAAAGTAGATACTTACCTCTCGCTGAAGTTTTCTCTTTTCTGCTTTCAGTTCATCTTCTACTTTTTCTGCGTTTTCTGCAGCAGTTTTATATCTCACCACCTGTCCTTCAAGTCTTAAAACCTAGAAGACCAATGATTTGTTTATCTTCCCATATGCAAGGAAGATTCAGTGTACCGTATTTTCCGGAGTATAAGACGACTGGGAGTATAAGACGACCCCCGACTTTTCCTGTTAAAATATAGGGTTTGGGCTATACTTGAGTATAAGATTACCCCTCTTCCAATGCATACCAAATAAAAATTACACCCACAATGTAAAAGCAGCTGTGCTAGACCCAAAATGGCCTCTGCAACAAGCAGGAACCTCACACAGACACAAAAAGCCCAAAAACCCAATTTTCACACTTTACACACACAAAATTCCACATACAGCTTTGTGAGATTTTGTGTGTTTGTGTAGTTAGAGTGAAACACTACAGAAGGACACTAAATCTCAGAAAGCTGCACAAATATTATTTTAATTTATTTTATGTTTATTTTTATATGAAAGCAGCTAAATTTAAAACTTCCTAAACTTTAAATGGCTAGGTCTAAAAAAAGAACAACTAAAAAAAAAACCCAATTAACTATTTTTTTAAAGCTCCCAAAGGGGAAAAAAACTTACCCAATAGAACAGGGGTCTCCAACCTTGGCAACTTTAAGACTTGTAGACTTCAACTCCCAGAATTCCTCAGCCAGCTTTGATTTGCTGGCTGAGGAATTCTGGGAGTTGAAGTCCACAACTCCCTGCCTGCTTGATTGCAGGCAGGGATATTCAGTTGCTTGCTGATGCAATGGATTGCAGGCAAGCGAAGCAAGGCAAGCGTTGCAACTAGCAGCTAAGGTGGAGAGGCGGGAGGATTTTTGCTACTGATTAGCAGGCAACTCAGCTGGGATGGTCAGAGCTTGGCTCATCAGAGCCATTTAAGGCTTGTCAGAGCCATTTAAGGCTCGTCGGAGCCTTTCTGGCTGGTCTGCCTAGTTACAGGAGAATGACACCTGGCGAATTACCCCCGACTTTTGAGAAGATTTTCATGTGTTAAAAAGTCGTCTTATATGCCGGAAAATACGGTAACTTTGACCTTTCCTTAAAAGCACTAAATGGAAAACATTTACTTTTCACTGTTCCTCCCAAGAAACAATGCAAACACCATGGAGTCAACAATACGTAGTCAAGTGATATAATCATACTCAGAAACTCAACAGAATACTAATTAATTCTAATAAAATGCAAACATGACATTGATATTATCACTGATTATAAGTAAAGATTTTCCCAATGTAAATGTTTATGTGCACTGTTTCTAGATCTGACATAGTCCTATTTTCATTTCTTTTAACTTGAGATGCCCAAATATCTTTCCTGGCCATCAGCACATATATACAGCACTTACACTATTTGCTTGAAGAGTGGTCCTCTTAAGAAAATATCAAACCCTGTACATCATTGACCTGATAATATAGTAATAGGATTCACATACTAGTGGTGCAAGAGAGGCATATTATGTGATGAAGTAGGGAAAAAAATAAGGGAGGGAAGGTATAGGGCTCTTAAATTTGGAATATATCAACATTTTAAAAGATACCTACATTTTGTTCCAAAGTAGTTATATCTTGTTCAGCTTTTGAAAGTTTAAATTTGAAATCACTTATTTGTCTGTTGGCATCTCCTAGAGACAAGAAAATTGAGAATTTCAGGACTGTAAATCAAACTTCCGAGTTTGATTCAAACCTTCAATCAACTTCAATCAAACCTTTACTTATTGCAAATGTTTGTTGTGGAGAGAAACAGCACTAAATGTGGCAATTAAGTAACTCTGGAGACTGGTATTTTTCAATATTTATTCCTGAAAGTTCATGAGGTGACTGCTTAAGATCTCAGGAGTTTAGTCAACATTTTTATTAGAATATAAAAAGCAGAATGACTTGTGTAATAGTATTTTAATCTTAAATACAATGAAAATGTGGTTATTTAAAAATAACCAACTGATAGATCAAAAGATTATACAAATTAATGATCACTATTTCTTACAGTGTCAGGAGGGAATGTAATAGCTCAAACAGGAAACAGGTTTTATTTCTGTAGTTTCCATTCTCTGGTTATGACAAGAACTCTATAAATTTCACAACTGGTACCAGACTTTGCTTGTTTTCCTTAATATTCCCTCATTTTATTTTAAACTGTACCTTATACATCTAAAACTATATACAAATACTTTCATTAAATCTGCTTTATCATCTGATATAAAATTGCAAAATGCAAACTGAAAATTTGCATAGAAATCAAGACATGACTATTTAAAGTGCATCTTCTTTGAATACTGAATGAATTAACATACTCTGCATTTCAATTAATTGCAAATCAGAACCATTTTCCAGTCCTGTTAAATCAGAATTTGTGCTTTCATTCCTAGAAGATTTCTGCCGTGCTTCTTCCAATTGCAATTTCAGTTTTTTAATCTGAAATTAAAATAACACAATATTTTCAGTATTTCACTTCAAACTTTATTTTTCTTTATCTAAAATGAATTGATATCATATTTAACAAATAATTAGCATCTACTGCTATAATTAGGAATCCAGTGCAATTGTTTTCAGCTTTAAATAAATCTACAGGATTTGTCTGAACAGGATCTGCTATTCCAATAAATAGGCAATTTAGCTGTGGATATCTACATCCCTTAAAATGCAAAGGTTATAGGAAAAATAGTTGTGAATATCTGCACCGAATAAATTGCCATGTTATATGAATGGTTTTAACTGAAACAAAAATTTTACTGTTAGAATAGTCTGGTTTTTATTCACTTCTTGTTCTCTGCAGATGTAATCAATATGGCATGAAGATGGATTGGCATTAGGGAGACCCAAGTTCACATTCACTTAAATCTCAGCTCAACCTACTTCTCAAGGTTGGGAAGGAGGGAGGAGGAAACACTTTGCTGTGTTGGATTCAGGACTGAAAGATGGAATATCAATCTCGTAAATACATAAATAAATAGAGTTTGCCATATACATATATAAAGTTTTTAATACACACAGCAGAAATTCACAACCTGTTCCTAAAAGATTTTGCCACAGCCCTTGACAATCTTCAAAATTGCTAACAAAATGTAACTTTTAGTAACAAACAAACAAAATTAAATACCTGATTAAGAAGTTCACATCTATATATTCTTATACTGAGTTAAACTTAAGTGTATATGACATTTCAAACATACATTTTTCTGCCTATACCCACCATTTTGCGGATATAGCTTTAAGCATATTATTCAAAGGCTAAATGGATGTGGCACTAAGCATGCTATTCAACTTCCCATAATTAGGTTTTAATTAAATAACGAAGTGTGGTTGGTTTATAACCTCCAGAATTAGCACTGCTCGTTTAAACTATAATTCTGTTGCTTCTGTAATAATTCAGGAACCATAGGATTAATGTTTTTTTCTCTATTCTGTTTATTAATGGAGAATGATCCAGGAGGGGCTTTATATATGTTGAATTCTAAGCTTATAATGGAAACTTGTAGGAAAAAGTTAAGCTGGAGATTATTGTGTTTTACAGATAGAATCAGATTGCTGTAACATTCTTTAAATACAGCAATGTGATCTTTCATCTGTTAGTTTTCCATCTCCAGTTTAACAAGTTTCCCAATATAATCTAAGAATTCAACATACAGTAGTGACCAAAATTGTGAAAACCTTTTGCGAAAATGTATTTTTGAGGTTTGATGGCTAATAATACCACTTTTTTTTTAGTTTCAAGACAATCATATTCCACTGCTGGAATGGCCTGGGAATAGCCCAGACCTTAACCCAATTGAAAATCCATGGAACTCACTAAAAAAACTAGTTAGTCAGAAGCGACCCAGCAATAAAACCCAGTTAATAGAAGCAATCATTCAATCTTAGTTTCACATTATAACAGCTGCAGAACTAAAACTTTTTTAAAAAGTTTTTAATTTTATTTCTCATAAACACATTTACATGTACAGTCATTTCCATCATAGTTCATAGTTATTTCAACCATTAATAACCTTCCTTCCTCATTTTCAAAAATCTGTTTGGATTGAATTGTTTTTTTAATATATAATGCTACCCCTCTTTTACTTTGACTGGTTGTATATAGTATTCCCAATTTCTTTTGCTCCATAGATATTTATGCTGTTTCTTAATATGAACTTCTTGTAAACATATAATCTCTAATTTTAGTTGTTCTAATTTGTTAAATATTCTTCTTCTTTTTATTACTGAATTTATTCCATTTATATTCACTGAAATTACTTTTACTTCTTCCATTTTTATTTGTTTATTTGTTTAGTAGATCTAGTCACTCTGTTTCTCTTTGTTCTTTTACCTCTTTCGCTCTTGCCCCCTCTCTCAATGCTCTTTCCTCTTGTTCCTTGGTTGTCTCCGTTAGTTGTTCTCTTTTCTCTTCCTGGCAGCTTACCCTTTCTTCTTCTCTCACTTTCGTTTCTTCTTGTTGTTCTATATATTGCCAATAAAATAATTCTGCCTTTTCTACTGTATCCAATCTGTGCCTTTGTTCTTGTAAGTTCACCAAGATTCCTTCTGGTATCAACCATCTAAAACTCACTCCTTTTTTAATCAAATGTTTCGTCAAAAATCGGTATTCTTTTCTTAGATCTCTCACTCTTCTTGGAACTTGTTTCAATGCCACTATATCTTTATATTGTATTGTTGTGTTCCTCATAAGTTGCAAGATCTCTGTTCTCAGCGTTTTTTTTGGTAAATCTAACATGTATTTCTCTAGGTAGATTATTCCTCATCGCATATCTTGTATCTACTCTGTAAATTTCATCTATCTCGTTAATTATCTTTTTTGGATTTTTTTTCATAACTTCTGCTAATATTTCAGCAATTTTTTCTGGCAAATTCTCTCCTTTTTCTTCCTCTATGTTTTGGAATCTTAAGTAGAAGTCTGCCTTGTCCATTTCCAACTGTATAATTGTCTCTTCCTGGCTTTTATCTATAGTTGTGAGTCTATAGTCCATCTCCTCCACCTTTTTCTCTGTTGCTTCTGCTTTCTCTTCCACTGGTATCAAACTTTGTTCATTTCTTCCCATCATTTCTTTCATCATGCATTGTCTGCATCATGCTTTTTAATTCCATGTTGGTTTTGTCTTGTTGTCTTGTTTCTGCTGCTTTTTGTGCTGCGGAAGTTGGTGCTGCTGTTATTGATGGTGATGATAAATGCTATGGTTGCTTCTTCATTTTAATCTTTACTTTCAAATCATCCAATTTTATAATCCAAATTTCGTAAATCAATATTTATAATCCACGTTTATCATTCTGGTCACCACATATCTTCAGGTTCTTGATACCCTAATCCATACATTTAAAAAAATAATATTAACAAATCCACACACTAATGTTTCTGGGGGCAATAAGCTGACTTTGTATAAATATACAAAAGTATGAGGGCTATTGCTTAACGCATTGTAAGCCGCCCTGAGTCTCCGGAGAAGGGCGGCATATAAATCAAATTAAAAAAAAAAATGTTCCCCCTAAAGGGAAACTGAAATAAGAAAAAAGAAGAAAAAAAGAAAAGAAAAAGAATATCCAGGCAGTGGTAGAAAAAAGAAAAAGAAACACACCACCAACTGCCAAATTTTTTTAAATAATCCAGTAATTGGTTCACTCCATGGGAAGAAGTTGTAAGGCCGTAATTCATGCTAAAAGTAACTAAGTATTAACTGACATGATAATTTTTGTATATCTCGTTTTTTCTACGGGTTTCACTTTTCTTCTTTATACTGTAACTGCTATTCTAATAGCAAATCCTTCATAAAAGTTATTGCATTACATTCTTAATTAAATTATCTTTCCATTGATATATAATTTTATGGTACTACTCCTAAAAATGTGGTGTTATTAGCTACTTTTAGAAAATACACTTGTCCCAAAAGGTTTCCACAACTTTGGCCACTACTGTATATAAAGCCCCTCCTGGATCATTCTCCATCAATAAACAATCAGAAGAGAATACATGAAAAACCATGAATCCTATGGTTCCTGGATTATTGCAGAAGCTACAGAATTATATCCTAAACAAACAAAGCTAACTGTCATAAAGCAACTGTAGTTTCTGTTTTTTAATTAGAACCTCATTATGGGAAATTGTTTATCTCTTCACTTTAGAAATCTTCAGGAGGCTTACCTGTGACAATAACTCTTCCTTTTCTCCTGCTAGCTTTCGTAGCCTAACATCTAGAACAAACAAATAATTTAATTTCCTGAATTGGAAGGCTTTTGAAGAATACTTTTATATGGTTTCCATCTGAAAACTCAAAATAAGACAGGTGGGCCTTTTTAAAAGAAAACTAGAATTTACAAAATGATGGATTATGGCTGTTATCTTTAACTTGCAAATACAAATAAAATTTGAGGAGGGTGACTTGGGCAAACCATAACTGAAATACAGCAAGATCACTTTAAAAATGTTAACTTAAGGCATAGGTCCAACTATGCAGTTAGATTCATCAACTCTTAGTATAGTAATTCTCACTTACCAAGTGCTTTGTTCAGGCACTATTCAAAATTACAACAGTGCCGAAATAACTTTATGACCAATGCCTGCATTTATAATCTTTGCAGTATCTGTCAGTCATGTGATCACAATTATAATCAGTAAACATTGTATACACAAACAGCCCAGTATACTCCCTATTGTGTGCCTGCTTACTTTTTTATAATCTGGCCTTCTCCTATGAATATAAATATTACGGTAATTCCATTCTGGTTAATTAATCCAGTGTCAAAATGAAAAATCCAAAGAGGAGGGGTGTGGGTTAGGAGACAAGCAAAAGTCTAAGATGTGAAACTGATTAGTATTGTCAGTTACTAACCAGTTCTCTCAATACAGCATACTTGGAATACTTTCTATAGGAAGTATTTTAATACATAGCTACTTAAATTTAAATATTTAAAAACCAAAACTTACTGAATGTCTATAGACATTTTGTAAACCTGAAAAGACTTATGGGGTGCTGGAACTAATCTCATAGAACTAAAGGGCTGATCTGTCTAAAAGTACAATTCTTTTGGTATAATTTTTAAATTTATATGCATTGAAGCCCCAATATAATAATAATCTTTTAAGAAAATGCTCATTTTACCTAGTGGTCCTTCCCCTGCTGATTCCAAAACTTGAGCAGCTTCTTGTGATACAACTGTAATTGCACCAATTACTGGTTCATGATTAATATCACAATTTGGGATTATTACTAATCCATGATTCTGGAGGGGGGGAAAGCAACATTAACAATAACTATCAGAAAATTTTATTTTACAGATAAACGCTTTACTTAGCTGACATAATCAAAAGTTACAACACTATTGCTTTCATACATGAGTTAGTACAAAGGAGAAAATGATGTGGTAATGATGCTGTACTTTCCATTACACTATCTGTAGTCTGATTCCCCAATCTACATTTGTAAAAAGTACTACTGCTAACATACCTCTCCTCTCTTCATTGTTTCCTTCAGGTTAGCCAGCTCATCTCTGAGCTCATCTCGCTCAATTCTAATGCAGTCAAAATATTCTTTTTGTCTCTCTAGAGCCTGGTAGTTGGTTACAGCCAAGTAGCACAAAGAAAATAGTATAGAAAAATAATGTGTGATAGATAAGAGAGATTTCTTGTAAACACAAGAAGAATACTAAACAAAAAGAAGAAAAAATGCTGTACATAATCTTGTTTGCCACAAAAGTCATACTTAGCACAAGAATTTCTCAGTTATAATGGATCTGTCAAATATGTATCTAGTCTTGATCATTATATTTCATATACACTTTAAATATAATTCCAATTCCAATCTCAAACCCAATCCCAACATGGAATTGATAAAATATAAAATATATTTTGGTCATACGCAGTTCAGACCTACTAAAATTAATGCAACTAAATTAAAACCATTAATTTTAGTAATTCTACTTTGCAATTGAAACTGTACTAAATAACATCATTCAAATGTTTACCCTAACCTAGAACTATACAAAGCAAGAAAATATAATCCTCTGTGATGCATTAAGATTTTCAAATATAAACACTTGGATTTGATAGCAGATCTACAAAATTATACTATGTTATTGTGATTTATAATTTAAATGAAATAATGTTGTCAAGCAGAGTTTTTAGTGAAAGAATATTAAAAGAAAGAGGAAACCATATGGTTTCCATTTCTGTCCAGGGCCCTGATTCTTATTTGTATGCTAGATTTTATAGGATACCTGCTTCCCAGAAGCCAGTCAGTTAGCAAATTGGTAAGCTTTTAAATAAATAATTTCCCCAACAGTCCACCAATCAGTAAATTCCCAGGAACTATGGAGTGAAGAGAGAACTACATCTACGGGCAATTTATAGGCCACTAAACAGGTGACTCATATTCACAATTCTCAAACCTATATTTCATTTTTAATCATAAATAACTAGCATCCAAATACAAAACGTAACTGCAACACTGGAAGTACTGAGAAATCATTCTGTTTTATCACAAATGTATTGATGCATGCAGCATATCCTCTTGAATGACACTTATTTATTGTCTAGTATCCAGCATTAATTTATTTTATCTAATTTGTTGCTGTATTTGTAATTACTATATTCAGATCCTCTGCATACTGAAACCATTAACAATCTTGTCAACTTTTGCCAGTCTATTCCTAATCACTTTTCACCTCAGAATAATCTCATACCCCAATTTTTTTATCTTTCCAATTAACTGTCTCCTGGAGGTCAAACACCTCTTTGGATATAGATTCTATTTTCTGCTGCATGCGCTGGTTCTCCTGCAGTAAACACAGGGAAAAGAATAAAAGAAGAGGAAAAACAAGTAAAGGGAATTACAAAAAGATAGAAAGAAGTGAGTAAATAAGCCAAAGAAACATGAGAGACCGAGGTTTTATGAACAAAGATTTGAAGGGTAGAATTACAAACAGATTTAGGATTGATGTTCAAATAATCTACAACTTTCTAACGTTATAGACAGTCCTTGATTTATGACTATTCATTCAGCAGCCATTCAAAATAAAGATAGTACTGAAAAAAGGACCCATACCCAAATTTATGGCCGCTGTAGCACCTTGTGCTCCACTTGGCAATCCACCCACCCTTATGACCAATCACAAGGATGCTGCAGAGCTCTCTCCACCATAACCCCTATCCTGCCTTGCTGGGCCCCACAGGCCTTGGGTCTGCTTCTCACTCCACTGGGTTCTACACTGTCTTCCCCACCCCCATCATGGCTTGATCACTTACCTTTTAGGATAATTTAGGAAGCAACTACTCTGCCACATGGCCATTCTGCACAGTTGTGGATGCATTCACTGTCCCAGAAGTGGACATCATTTTGGGAGTGGCCACAATCCCAATAATGCAGGAAAGGGAGCATGGGAAGGGAGTTGTGGAGGTCCTGGGAGGCCTAGCAGAGCCTACATCTAAACTGAAGGTTCTGCAGTGCAAACCTAGGCAGGTCTCCTAGGGCTTCCTCCATCTCTGTGGCACCTCAGGCTCTGCTAATAACTATAATAGGAAGAGTCATTAAGTGACTATAATTGGGGTCATTAAGTGAGGTAATCACATACCTCATATAATGACTGTCACAATTTCTGTACATATTTGGCATATGTACATATGATTGTAAGTCGAGGACTACCATAAATTAATGTATAAACATATAGTTTGACCAACACTTTAATAATATTTAAAATTTTAAAATATTGGTATAATGTCACTTTTAAATTTTATACTAATTCAGTATGGCTGCTACTGATTATACCAAAGGCTCTTCCATATGTTTTTAATACACACAACATAGCAAATTCCTCAACTTTATATTACCACATTATGCATACAGTAGCTACTACTCAATCCAACCAATCCAAGGTACAGTAATTCTGCACATTCAGCTAAAAATCAATGAATAGTAAAGAAACAAGGAGCATATACAATTTACAATACTGAACATCTGAATTCAAGTATCTAAAACAGACTTTTTTAGTGATCAAAATAATTCTATCTTATCTGAATACAGTTTCTTTTTTTCAGTCATTTAGTAAATTATCAAATTGATCAATATATTATTTTCTTAGGACTAGAAAACAAAAAGAAATAGAGAGATACACCATACAAGTAATCCCTGGGTTACCAATGTTCCCTTAGCAAATGTTTGAAGTTACGCGATCAGCGCCCCCTAGCATTTCCAAACAAGGCCCAAAACCTGTAGCACCACAGCAGTTATTCGCCCTTACGAACAACCGCAGAGGCTCTGCAACATTCATCGTGCAAATTGTCGGTTGAAATGGAGCTTCTGAGGAGCAGATCCGCCCCTCAGAAGCCCTGTTCGGCCATCCAGAGACCTCCCCTGACCCATTGCAGGCCAAAATGGAGCCTCCTGGGGCCGGATCTGGCCCTCCGAGGCTCTGTTTAGTCCTCCGTGGCAAGAGGAAGCTCTACTTCAGCCTGCAACGGGCAGTGGGAGGCCTACGGAGACTCGAATGTAACTGCAGAGGGGTGCACGAGGCTGGAGAGGAGACTGCTTGCTAGATCTTCACAAGGTAAGTGACCTGATGCAGCAGGTTGGGGGGGGGGGACAATTTGGGTAGCATCAAGTATTTCAGTGGGTCAGAGAGGCCTTGGGTGGTCTCAGGCAGGTGGCCTGTTTAATCAGTAGCCCTCCCCCGATGGCCTTCCCCACCCTGAAATACCTCATGGGCATTTAACAAGCCTCGCTGTCATGTGCCCATCAGTCTGAATCTGCAGGGAAAGATGAGCTGGAACAAGATCAAGCCAAGATCAAGAGGGCGGCTCCGTTGGCCTTGAAGGAAACTGGGGAAGGGGAGAGTCAGTCCAGGGAAGGCTTTTCAGGATTAGAAAGGCTTGCAGACAGGGAGGAGAAGAGATAGAGCTCAGGCAAAGAGCAAGGACCACCCCCTCCTGATCCTAGAGCACGGAAAGAAGAAAGAAGGTGAGATTAATACAGACTGGGCCGGCTACGAGGGAGGAGAGTGAGCTGTCCCCCTTCACAAGGCACACCTGGGGACTGAGATGTAAGGAAGTGCCGGTGGGAGGGACATTTGTCAGGAACAAGTGTGGAATCTGTGAAGCCTTGTGTGAACTTGCTGATGCCTGAAGATTACTGTGCTCTGTCTTGTGGGGCTTGCCCAGTTTGCCTGCTTCGTTGAACTTTTTGCTCTGGTTACTGTTTGGCTAACCTGGCTTATTGGACTGCTGGCCCTGGTTACTGTTTGGCTAACCTGGCTTACTGGACTACATGCAGTCAGAGGCTGCTGAAGATGTGCTTGAGAGCTTTGCTCCAGGACTTGTAGTAAACATGGGGACATTTGGGGGCAAAGTTGGAGCATTAAAGGGGAATTAGACCTGTTCTCTGGCTGTGTTGCTTTCGTGCCACGCCCCAGGTCATCACACTTGCATTTGATTAGCGAATGCGTGGGCGAAAGGTGCGAGTGATCTCATTCAAGATATGAGATTCACTCCCACGAATCCTCAGGTTACAAATGGAATGGGCAGGCTCCATTACATTCGTAACTCGAGGACTATCTGCACAATGTTGATTACACCTATTTCGGAAAGATCTCTTAATAGAAGGTCTAAGGAGACTTCTGTGGGACACTACAGATCAAAGGCTCTGCTATTAATGATTAGTCTTCAGAATCAGATTTTGAATAGTTGACAAAAAGGACCAAAAAAGTGATCGTCTGATTCAAAGTCTAAGGTAATCCTGAAGAATATCAAATTCTATTAAGAATACCAGGCAAATTAATATAACTAACATTCTTCATTCTTAACATTCTTCTATTCATATATGAGAGCAGATAGTTCACTATTCCAATCAAAATGTTCACTGGCTAACAGCTTAATGGAAAATGGGGTCTTTCGCCTTTCAGCTCCAATCTAGGAGCCCTCAAGCAGTCGCATTCAGGACAAACCATTTTATACCAAATTTATATTTCGCTGATAAAGAAATAAAGGGAGACTAGTATATATCTATTTCAAGCTATTTAGTTCTCATCAGCTACCCATACCCTTTCTTGGATTCAAACTTGGGTTGCCTGCATATTAGGCAGTTGTATTAACCTCTGAGCCACAAGTTCTCCTCCCTTCATCAGCTTGAGCCAGGGGAGAGATTAAGTGTTTTTCTATCGAAACACCTGGTCTACCCCAGCAGCGAAATATAAATTTGGTATAAAATGGTTTGTCGTCAATGCGATTGCTTGAGGGCTCCTGGATTGGAGCTGAAAGGTGAAAAGGATGCAGAACGCTCCCTCCCACATGCTGGGGAGCCAACACTACAGGATACTCGCTGCAGGACAATTCAAATATTCAGTTTAATCTCTCTCTCTCTCACTCAAGACAGAGTAATTCACCCAAAGTCATTCAGCCAGCTTTCATATTAAACAGAGGTGTCGAACTCAGTTAACCTGGTTTCCAGACAACCACCTTAATCACAATACCAAACTAATAATAATTGTATAACTGTACTTATACAAATTTATTCAATTAAGGAAAATTTCATTAATAAATATCTTGCTATTGTCTCCTTTTTGAGGTATATAAAAGTAAAAACAAGCAACTGGATAGAATAGTAGTTACAGTGTCACCTCTGACATGGAACATCAGTAGGAGTCCTTGAGCTATAAACCCCTTGGGCTTACCTCTCTACCTCAAAAATGAGAATAATAAACAAGCAGAGTTATGACAGCTCAGATGTCACCTGGATTAACAAGATCCACATCATATGTTGAGGAACCAAGACAATCTAATAATAAATGGGCTATCAGAAAAACAATACATGGATGAGGCACAAACAAACAAATCCTGATTTGATGGAATGCTACTATACCAATAGACTTAATGAGAGAGGATAGATGAAACATACGAGTGAGCTATGGCTGGGCAGAAGACCTGCATCCTCACTAATTGAGAAATGGTTAGTTACCCAATGCTTCAACAAAGTGAAGAGAAAGCTGCTCATAACTTAAGAAACACCAACTACATATTACATCACAAACTCAGGAAGACCAGGAAGACCATCTAGAGGTGCAGCCAACACCTGGTGGAACATCACTGCCAACCCTCTACATTACAGAGCACAGCAGCTGATATTAGGCATAAGATAATGTATAAACTAGTTACAGTCAATCTTTGAAGCTGATTTATCAAATCTTATTGGAGATGGAGATGCTAGAAGATGCCAATAGAGCCCTCATGCCAATTCAATAAGAATTAATTAAAAAGACTTCAACCCATGAACAAGAAAATCCCACGAATTCAATTAAAAATGTATTTCCATCAATTTTAAAGCAGCATGTTTATATGAGCAGTTAAGCTGAGAAGAAACTGCTTCATGTGAGAACCTACCGTATTTTTCACTCCATAAGACACTCCTGAGCATACGATGCACCTAGGTTTAGAGGAGGAAATCAAGGGAAAAAAAAATCTGCCTCTGCCTCCCAGCGTCCATCCGGTATTCATCTGGCTAGCATCCTTGCAGTATACAGCCTGCCTCCTCCGTGTCTGCTGTCTCAGCTGGAGAACGCTGGAGCCTTCGCCTCCGAGCAGCTGATCAGCGGTTGGATTGGCCGTCCGGAACACCACTGATCAGCTGTTCCAGACGGCGGGGATCGCTGCTGCCGTTCACTGCTGCTGCCTGTCGCCCATATTCACTCCATAAGACGCACAGACATTTCCACCCACTTTGGGGAGGAAAAAAGTGTGTCTTATGGAACGAAAAATACGGTAGTTACTAACTAGGGTAGCCACATTATTGTCATAAAAATTATAAATTTAATATTTTATTGTGAATTTAATCATGCCTATTTTACATTTTATCATAATAGCGTTATTGATTATCAATTAATTTCATTGTTTAAACATTGAAAACTTGGAATTTTTAATGGCATGTAAAGGTTTAACATAAGTAAATAGGGATCATGAAATTGACGTTTTAAGTGTGCTTCTGCAGCTTCAGCATTAACAAAGCAAGATATCCAATAATTTAGAACCAATCTGGAAACTAAACCAGCTGTCTCAGAAAGAAAGAGTGTTGGGCAGCAAGATAAATGATATATCAATTGAATATCTAAGCACGGCAATCCCCTCTGGAAACAAGTAGACACAGAAACAATTTGTATCAAGAACTTTTGCTATCTGGAGCCCTTCATATAACTCTTTCATTATTTACTCAAAGTATAAGCTTGGAGAAAAAGCACAAACACTATAGTACATGTCAAAATTAAGGAAATAAATTATAGACCACCATTTGAGCATCATTCACCAAATTATTAGTTATTTTCTAGCATGAGTATGTACCTCTATTAGTTCATCTCTTTGGCAAAGGCTTTCTTTGAGTTCATTTACTTTATGCTGTAGAACACTGCACATATGTTTCTGTCTTTCCAATTCCTGTATTAAACAAAAAAAAAAAAGTGGAATTTAGATGACTTTAAAATTTGTTTTGGTAGCTTTGATTACTCTTAAATAACATTTTGAAGCTTGTTACAATAATGTAAGCTAATTTCAAGATTCTGTGGGCTAGTAAGAGAGTACTCTTAATATTTATTATGTAGGCAGGAATAATAACTACTCACAGTTAAAGGAACACAATTATGAACTCTGGCTTAAACATTTTCACAATTTCCAAGTAATAGACCTCACCCTCATCCTTACCTTAACCCCCTAATATTGTAATCAAAACCCAATTTTGAATAGACTCCCTGTTTGTCTCCAATGCTTGACATTAGGCCAATATTGTCAATTTACCACAATATCTGACAGAATTTTTCAAATCTGTTTTAGTAAACTGTAATCATCATGGGCAAGGAATAACAGAGTTGGAAAGGACCTTGGTCTTCCAGTCCAACCTGCTGCTCAGGCAAGAGACCCTATACCAGGGGTGTCAAACTCAAGGCCAGCAGGCTGAATCCGGCCCGTGATGTAGTCAGATCCAGCCACAAGGACATCCTGGAAACTGCAAGAGCCCGGCCCGCATTGCCTCGGCCCGGCCCATCCCGGCGGCTGCACACACAGGAAGCAGCAAGCACATGAAGACTGGCCATGCTCATTGGCCTCGCCCCATCCGGCCTCTTGCCTCTGCACCTGGCCTGGTCTCTCGCCTTTACAGCCAGGCTCTTTGCCAGGCTTCGGGCCTTACCTCACCCCGTGGCGGCACCAGCAGCAGCTTTAAGGAGGTAAGCACAGCTGGGTCCCCTCTCGGGGAAGCGGGACTGATTGCAGGTGGCTGCTTATGATGCCTGGGGAGGGGCTGGCAGGGCATCGATGCTTGTGTGCAGCTGGAGCGGGTGCCCAGGGGGTCAATGCTGGGGTATGGTGGGAGGGGCAGCTGAACTGCAATGGGGAGGGGGATTAAAAATAGGAAGCTGCCGCAGGCAATGGGCAGGCAGCAGGCAACCCTAACTCTTAGTCTGGACTCCAGCCTAAAACTGAATGGCTTGCCCCCCCACCTCACCCCAGACCCCTCAGCCTCATGCAAGCACTGATGCCCCACCAGGCCCCCCAGCATCACAAATAGAGCAGAGCAGGACAGGAGTGTGAGGCGGCGTGATACACCCATGGACAAAGACGTCTGTGCCCCGTGGAGGCCCTCGAGTTTCCATAGGCAGGCAGGATCAGGTGAGGGTGGCATGGTGCGGCAGGCTGCCTGTTCAGTGTCAGGCAGGCAGGATCAGGCAGTTGGCCTGTCGTGCATCACTGCCATTTGCTGCTGCAGGGAGCCAGCACAGCTTTGCTATTGCAGGGGGACTTGGGGGAGGATCTGGAGGTCTCCAGCAGAGGAAGAAGAGATCAGGCTGAGCGCCAGCCTCATCCATCAGAGGAGCCTTGCTGTCTGGGGGGAGGGGGGAGGCTGGCACAGCTTCTACAATTGCAGGGGGTCTAGGGAAAGACACAGCAGGCAAACAGAGGTGGCGTGTTCTTGGGGGCAGCTGAACTGCCTGTTAGATGTCACACTGGAGGGTTCCCCAAGCTACACACTACCTTTCGCCTGCCCGCATAGTCCCACCAGGCACCCCGCCTGCAATGCCAGAAGATGCGCTGGCCTTGCCACTTGCTTGCGCAACCCCTCCCAGACAGTGAGGCTCCTTTGATGGATAATGCTTTGGCGCTCGCCCTGGTCTCTCCTTCCTCCACTGGAGATCTCTGCATCTCTTCTCCCAGCCTTGTTTGGCCCTTGATGTGAGCAACGTCAAGCCAGCCAGGTTGAGTTGGCCATGCCCTCCTGGTCATATGACCACTCAGATACGCCTACCCAGCCATGCCCATCTGGCCCTTTGAGGACAATCATAATCTGGACCTCAATGAAATTGACTTTGACAACCCTGCCCTATACAATTTAGATAAATGGCTGTCCAGTAAGAGTAACTTAGAATCAAAAGAAAAAAAAGAAGGAGGGGAAATTGTTGCTAGAACAAATTAATTTTTCCATGTTTGAGCCATCATAGATCCTAGTAAGGTCTTTGTCTTCATTAAAAGTATGCAATGTTATTTTCAAGTATCAATATACCTAAGTACAAACATATTTTTTTAATATTCTGCTACTTAAAATCTACATTCTGCATATAATAAATTATAAATTTAAGTACCTTAGTCTTTTCTTCATTTTCCCTATAGTATTCTGCTAATTGCTCTTCTCTTTCCTCAACGACATCTTTTAGAGTATCCACTTGATAGATTAAATTGTTTTTTTTCATTATCAAGCTGGGCATTAGAAACCATGGCTTTCTTGTATTTCTCTTCAACTTCAGCAAGTGACTCCTAGAAACATTTTATTCCTTTATTTATTAACCATTATTTAAATAGAAGCACACAGAATGTTCCATACTTAACCATGTTATCTTTCTAAGTTACGTCTGTTTAAATGTGCATGTCAATGAAATTTTAACATGCACCGGGACATTTAAGGAATTGATTTTATTATTTTCTTTGCAAATGCCAGCAATTTAAGCAAGTTATTTATAATAGTTCTAGAAGACAGTTATTTATAGCAAAAAGATCTATAATCTAGCAAAAAGAATTAGCAAGTAATTTTTATAATTTTATAATAGCAAGTAATTGTATAATCATTATATAATCACAGTGTATTTCTTTCAAAAATTGAAGTCTAAGAAAAGCACATTTCTGTCTTTAACTTCCTTCAGGTTTCATAGTCATCGCTAAGATGATGGTTAAGAAATTGCTTTAGTCCAATAAGAAATGACTTTAGTCCAATCAAGTTCAACTAGAGGAATTTTTGAACAGTTTTACAATTTAATTTACAATTTACAATTAGGAAGCAAAGTTATACATAAATTTGCAGTTACACGCACACGCATGCAAAATAAATAGTACCCCTTGGTGACTAAATCTATACCTGAATGGTTTGAGAGTATTAAATTAAAAATTAATCATGCCCCCCCCCCAAAAATGGTATTGTCTTTTGCATATTGCAAATTAAAAGAAAAAAATGTTTAAATATCTAATAACATTTCCGTACGTTGAACAACTTTCATATACAGTGACAATTTTGAAATCGTAAGATCTATAGGGTCAGAGAGACTTGGAAAAGAGCTTTATAATGAAGATGAAGAATTCATGAAAAACAGAGGACTTCAATGACAATTTATCCTGAAGATTTAATATCAGCTCCAGTTTAATACTAATTTCAGGACAACACTAATAGTCAGATATCTCCAACAAAATAGTAGCATGAGATGGTTCTTGGTCAAAACCAGCAAAGCTGTTCCTATGAGTAGTAATTTGAATCAAAGAGTTTTACTACCCACTCATTGAAGAAGGATCAATAGAGACAAAATTGATGAAAAATCAGGTCACAGTTTATGTACAACACCCTTTAGATTCTAATGTTTACAAAGTGCCCTGGATGTTAAATAGACAGCATTCAGATTATTTTTTAACATAATGTGCTCATATCTATAGCCAATAATTCTATAAACAAAGATTGGCATTTGGCCTTGGAATCAAATACACAAATATAAGCCCAATTTTGCACTTTCTAAATTTTATTCATTTATTTTTATTTATTTATTTTGTCGCATTTCTATGCCGCCCAACTCCCAAGGGACTCTGGGCAGCTTACAACAAAGAATAAAACAATGCGAACAATCCCATAAAAAGGTTAAAAAGAAAAACATTAAAACATTAAAAACTTTAAAAACGTTAAAACACATGCACTCCAATTCATGGCCGGGTCTCGCAAGATCATTATAACGAGATCAATAGCCCCAGGCCCCATAAATGATGTACTTGGTATGTATTTCATTTATTTTTTCTTTATGCACTCCCCATGTGACTTAAAGCATTACTAAAAATTATTTAGTAATTTATTATTTCACTTCAAAACAGAATTCTAGTTTTAATTTCACTATCAATCTCTAACAGAGTGGTTTCTAATTATTCGACTTATAAAATTTTTACTTGGGTTTTCATGTAAAAATAAAAATTTAAATTATTGAAATTATTGAAAGGGTTAGGGTTACATTATATAATATTCATTATTTCAATTATCTTACTTCAGAAATACTATGTGATGACTTAATTCTCTGGAGAAGACTCTAATGCTGGCAAATGTGGAAGGAAATAGGACATACAGGAGCAACGTGAATGGACACAGTTACAGTGGCAATAGATGCACCATTGGAAGACATAAAGAAAATCTAATTACGTGATCACTAAGAATTGACACCAACATGTTAGAACAATCTATTAGTACTTGATAGCACAATCTATTACTACTACTATTAATATAACATTTGATACTACTGAAGTAAAAGGTAATATACACTAGTAACTACTGTATATGTACAAAACCCATTCTCCAATTTATTCATTAGACACATCCTTAATAAAAAGATTAATTAGTATGTTAGTAAACTCTTAATAAAATTTGCAAAAATGTAATTACCAAAGTATTACCATAATGAGTACATGCTTGGGAGAAACCCTAATACCTTTAGTTCTTTAAGTCCCTGCATGTATCTCCCCTCTACATCTTGTATCTGGTCCTTAAGATCATAGATATCCTGCGGGACATAGGAATGAACCATTGCATAAGAACATCATAAAGATTGATTATATAATTGTATGATTTAAAAATCAGGTGATTTGGTGTATATTTTACCTACCAAATTATAGATTAAATTAATGATATATCCTTGATACTTGAAGATGACAGAATTAAATTTAAGTCGGTATTTCTTATAAAGGTCTTTGTACATTTAAAATACAAAATCTCCAAGAACACAAATTTCAGACATAAACTGTTTACAATCTTATTTTGAATGCAAATCTGAAAAGGTGCATAATGATATTTGCAAACTAAAACATTATAACAGCAGTTATACTGGTAGTCCTCAACTTACGATTGGTCGGTTAGAAACCATTCGAAGTAGAAACCATTAGAAACTTAAAGCAGGGGACTACAAATCAAATTCAAAGTTCCAATGTGTGAGCCCCCTCTGCAGTGACATAACTGAATTTTAAATGCTCAGCAACACAGCCACTTTTATGGCCATTTTAAGCATCCCATATCACCTCATTATTTCTCAGTTTTGCCAAAAACTGCACTTATTTCTAGTTTTTGGTACAACTGAGCCCATCAGGAATCCATTCACTTAAAGTTTGGGGGAAAAAAGATTATAAAATCAGGTTGGTCACATAACCAACCCATTTTAAAACCATTGCAAGATATGACGTCAAGAACTATAGAATTTTAGAACTATGCTAAACTATATTACACTTTTAGTAAAGTTCTGCTTCCTTCTTATAGTAAGATATTATGGATAACCGGTTAATACAAGAAAAAAACTAGAGATAATCTATCTTATTAAGAAATGATTATTTACAAAATACACTCAATCGATTTTAAAATTTGGAAAAAGTAAATACATTTATATAGTCACAACAGTAACTAGAAGCAAGGGAGTCTATATGTTATATAGCTTTCATTGTTCAGTGTAAAATATTATATTATTGTTATTTTAATATTTATAGCCGCCAAGAATTCCATAAGAGTAAGGTGGTAAATTATGGCATAGATTAACATAAATAAATCATTTTTAAAAGACTGATAATGTATTCCCTCATTTAAGTTTATGATAGATAAATGTAGTTACATTACATTCAAACTATTTTCATGTTAATTACTTATTCAGCTTTAAAATATATTTCTAAACACATTTAACTAACCTAACTGATTTCACTGAGATTTGTTGACTTTTAAGCATTTAGTATACAGTTGAAAAGAGGTATGGTGATAATATAACTGAATGAATTTTGCAACGTGATACAATTTTGCAATCCATATTCTCAATGTAATGTTGATCTGCATCATTCCGCAATAATCTATGTAACTTTCACACATAAATTCCATTAATCATCCAGGAAATAAGTGTTTCAAATCTAATCCTCAAAATTCATTCTTTCTCTTTCTTTCTTTCTTTCTTTTTCTTTCTTTCTTTCTCTCTCTTTTCTTTTTCTTCCTTCCTTCCCTCTCCTTTCCTTTCCTACCTTCTTTCTATCTCCTTCCATATTGCAAATATATAATTATTTTTCTTAAGATAGTCTACAATTTGATTGATACAATTTTATTGTTAACCAATAAAAATTTCTCACCCGCAATTCACTTAACGAGATATCAGGATCAACTAGGCTGCTTGTATCTCCGCTTCCTCGTCTAGAAGAATTTCCACTTAAAGGAGTTGCTGAATTGCGAGATGCTGGCTAAAGAAGACAATTGTTTTAAATTTCGTTTACATTTTAATAGTTTTCTTACCTAAATATGTAAATAATATATCAATCCAAGAAGAATATTATAATTTTGAAAAGAATATTTTCTTATATTGACTATTGTAATGTTAAATGAATTTACTGAATTGCATCAGGAAATGCTGAACATATATCTTCTCCATTCAACCTGACCTAATGGTTTATTATTTTTTCAGATTTCATTCCACAATTTACTATGCAAAGTATTCAGCAGAAGTACTTCACAAACTACATTAGCCCAGATTAAGCAACTCCATTTGAGTATTAAAATTGACTCATTATTTCAATAACTTATCTGGTTGTTTTGAAGACGTGCTCTGGTCATCAGACCTCTAAGCAGAAATGCTATTTGTATATTTGCATACAAATTGCACAATTGGGAACAGCTTTTGAAACAAAGCTTTGCTTTGCACAAGTTTTGCAAAGTTTGAAGGCACTTTAATGCTTCCAAAACAGGTGTTTAATTTATGCTAATTAATTTTGCAAAACATTTTGCACAGGTTTAATTGCATACATCATAACAAATTACTCTACTTATAAAGATGTGAAGAAATAATGAAGACAACTCCTGATACACAGGAAGATAGATCCTTTCTGCATGCTGGGGACCTGAAGTACCTGTATTTTTCGGACTATAAGAGGCACCTAGGTTTAGAGGAGGAAAACAAGAAAAAAAAAAATAGCAGAATAATATTTCAACCATGTAAAGTCAACAGCAATATTAAGAACCATCATCACTGTCATTAACAAATGAGGAGAGACTTTAAGGTTCAAGCACTCTTCTAATTTTCTGGAAACCCCAAGAACTCATCATCGCTAGTGGCAGAATTTAGGAAGCTCAGTTACTCACTTTCTTCGCTATCTCCATGTATGATACTATCTCCAGTTCCATCTAAGGCGTTGCTAATGCCATATTTTTTGAATGACCATGCAATGATTTCGTCCTTCACTGAGTGCCATGTTGTTTTAACAACCTTGAGTGATTGTGGGCCTCATTTGTCCAGTAGGTGTCAGATCACGATTACCAGTAGTCAGCCATTTATTCCACTCTTTTCGCATATAGACTTTAAATGGTTTGTTGATGGAAACCTCAAGAGATTGCAACTGGCTGGTAAGATCCCGAGGAATTACAGCTAGATTAGTCACTTCTTTAAATCTCTTTTATGAGGTTTCGCTAATATGTGCTCTAATCTGGTCGAGCACTAATAAAGCAGGTTTTTTCAGAAGCCCTCCAGGATGTTTGGACCACACTTTTTCAACCTATACTTTCATTCCATTTTCGTCCATCCATCCTTTCTCATGAACAGGCACAACAATTCCTTGTCGAATCACTTCTTTTGGAAAGGTTTTCCTTTTGAAAATTAACATTGGTGTCAATTTGGTGCCGTCTGCACAGCAAGACAATACAACCATGTAATGTGTTTTATCATGTCCTGAGTTTTTCACAGTTATGGTTTTGGCATCTTTCAGATCAACAGTCTTATTAGATGGCACATCAAAGGTTAGCGGGACTTCATCCATATTCCCAATCTGGCCAATTTCAAAATTATTTTTCTTCCTAGCATCTATTACAAATGTATGAAAAGACAGAATCTTAGATTCATACTCTTTTAGCATTTTTTGCGCAATTCTAGTTTTAGTGCGCATAGCAAGGCCATATCTCCTCATAAATCTGAAGCACCATGATGGTGATTCAATAAAATCCTGAATGCATTTCTGTGCAGCAATGTGTTTGGCTTCATATATCATCATTTTTGTGGAAACAGCAAAGCCACTGTTCTGGTGACGTGTGATCCATTATTTCATGTCCACCTCTAACTGTGGCCACTTTGCAGCAAGCCCATGAAAATTTTACTTACCTTTATCTTTTACTTTTTGCAGCTTTTTGTAGCCCAAAATGTCTCTCCGCTGCTCTGCTTCCATGTTCCTCAGCATATTTTACTACTTCCAGTTAAAAGAAATTTTATATGCTAGTCTTTTTCTGGTTTGACAGACTTGTATGTAGCATGAGGAGGTACAGTTTTTTTTTTCTGCAAGAAAGAACTGTCAGCAGTGTGTTCTTTATTGTTATGAGAGCACTGTAGCTGAGAACATCAAGGAGAACATCAAGAAGAACATTGGGGGGGGGGACAGGGACGGGTGGAAGTCACAGCGATATGACATGCCTCATGGGAGATTACGCTGAAATACGAACTGCCAGGAGGTCCAGACGGACCTAAATCACCTTGGAAGGGTGGTGAATACAGAGAGCACACTCTGCTGGTGTCAGGGCGCCCACAATCTCCCTGATTGATCCGGAGAAGACTCTCAAACTTGACAGGAGGAAAAGACGGCCATTGCGTGCTGAACCAAAGCTGTGACAGAACACCGGAAGCATGGAAGAGTGAATAACAGTGTGTTCGATCTGGGTGAGAGATTTCTAACTTTGAACTTTTAATTTTCATGGAAGAAAGAGGCCCCTGGAAAACATCTGGGTGACAGTGGGACATAAAAGGAAGAAGTGGATTTGTTTTTTCTCTATCTCCCAGAAACTCGGTGAGGAAAGCCTAGGAGCCATTTTTAGAACAGGAAGTAAAGTCAAAGAACTTTCTAAAAAAGAGTGGAAAAAAATTTGTAACTAGAAAGCAGGACTGGGTATCTCAAATACAATACTGACTAACTTAGAAGGTTTTTGGACATTATAAAGCTTGGATATACAGACTCTTTTTCTTATCTTTATAAAATTTGAATCAGAATCAGAGCATATTAAATAAAAGGAGGAAGAAAAAGAGAGAAATAGAGCAACAGTGCCAACTACTGGTAAAAGTGGAAAGGTGCAAGGGAAAATATTATATATACATATACATATACATATACATATACATATACATATACATATACATATACATATACTATGTTTTTCTTTTAGCCAGGTTTCTCCTACATAACCAAGATTTTTCTTTCTACAGCCCTAGCTCAGTGGAGTCACATCCACTCAATTCTGGGCTTTTTTTTTTTCCCCCTTCTGGCAGCCAGCACGCCTTCAATGCTGCCCTATGCTGCCTAGTGAGAGACTTATATAGATCTATTTCTGGCTCGTTAGCCATCATCAGTAAGCCACACCCACATCTCATGTATCCTCCCTGTAAAGGTACAATATCTATTTTCTTACTTTTTTCTTCCTTTTCGTAGGTTTTATGTGTTTTTCTTTTAGCCAGGTTTCTCCTACGTAACCAAGATTTTTCTTTCTACAGCCCTAGCTCAGTGGAGTCACATCCACATCCACTCGATTCTGGGCCACACACACACACACACACACACACACACACACACACACACACACAAAGTACATAACCTTGAGTGGCTGGGAAAATTGAAGACAACAACTGACTATTGGATAAACAATCTTTGAACTACAATTATTTAGACTGAATAATTGAGATAGAGAGGGAAACACTGAGATTTTCTATTTTTAAACAGAACAGCTCTTGGAATTTAAATGGAAATGAAAGATATAACAAAACAAAAGCTGAGAACAGTAAAATACTTCCCTTGCTATTAATTTTGCTCTGTAAACTCTCTACTGGTGAATATAAAATAACTGGTGGTTAAATTCTAGGGCTTGGTGGGCTTATGTAGATTACAAATTACCAATTTCCCAAATTTTTTAATTGATAAAGATTAGGGTTTGAAGAACCTGAAGAATACCAGTAAGACTGACAGGTTTAAAGATTGATAACCTTTGGATTACAATTTATATTTGTACCTTATTTTTGGATTACAATTAACAGCACTATTCCTTACTTTTTGTGGATTATAATTATCCAAAGACTTTAAAATGAGGAAAGCACCATCAGCATCATCCTCAGCAACATCTAGCCCAGGGGTCTACAACCTTAAACACTCAAAGAGCCATTTGGACCCATTTCCCACAGAAAAAAAACACACTGGGAGCCACAAAACCTGGGTGGGCGTGGCGAAGTCAATGTCACTCACTCCCACCCAATCACATGACCCCCCCCCCTAGCCATACCTACCAAGCCACAAAACCATTCTCTCTCTCTATGTCTCTCTCTCTCCCCCTCTCCCTATCTTCCCTTTTCTCTCTCCCCCTTTCTGTATCTCTCTGTCCCTCTCTGTCCCTCTCCGTAACTTCCCCTCTCTATCTCTCCCTCCTCCCACCCTCTGTGTCTCTCTCTCTCTGGGCCTCTCTCTCCCTCTCTCTCTGTATATCACTGTCAATGGTGAAATCCAATTTTTTTTACTACTGGTTCTGTGGGCATGGCTTGGTGGTCGTGGCAAGGGAAGGATACTGCAAAATCCCCATTCCCTCCCCTCTCTTGGGGGAAGGATATTGCAAAATCTCCATTCCAACCCACTCGGGGGCCAGCTAGAGGTGGTATTTGCCAATTCTCCGAACTGCTCAAAATTTCCGCTACTGGTTCTCCAGAACCTGTCAGAACCTGCTGGATTTCATCCCTGATCACTGTGTCTCTCTGTCTCTCTCTCTCACCCACTCTCTGTGTATCACTCTGTGTGTGTCTCTCTATGTCTCTCTTTCTCCCCCTCTCTGTGTATCTTTCTATCTCTCTCTCACCTCCTTTCTGTGTATCATTCTGTGCGTGTCTCTCTATGTCTCTCTCCCTCTTTCGCCCCTCTCTGTACCTGTGTGTGTATGTGTGTGTATCTTGGAAAGCCGCGGCTGGGTAAAGCCAGCAAGGTCTTCTTGGGGTGCTTCGCTACTCCTTTTATTTCTTCTTTTTGGAAATCTGGGCTGGCTGAAGAAAGATCTCCAGCAGCAGCAGAGGCTTCCCTTTGGGTGACCATCCTCTTCCTTCTCCTCTTGCGACCTCCTGGGCAACTGGGGCTGAGCCAGGAGCGTGTGCAAGCATGGAGACCCCCCACAACCGAGCACCAAAATGCAGCAAAGGTGTGCACGCTTAAGAAGGGTCTTAACAGGACACAGCTTCTCTCCT